AGCTGTAGTTAGATTTTAAAATACTCTATTGTTTATTCTTATTTATTTAGGACACATAAAACCAATTCAGAAGTAGGGCATCAATAAGTGAGATTACAGTCACCTTTTAAAACATAAGACTATATTATCTTTTTCATCATCCTTCATCCTTAAGAACTTCTGCTTTCCAGCTGCCACCAAAATTTACCTAAAATGACTTCCTTTTAAGTTCCAGTCCTGGCTGGTGCGTGGTTAAACTGTAAAATAAAGAGATTGGAGGATGTTTCAATGTTTTGCACTCTCATCATCTTGTGTCCATTGTTTGACCAGAGAGAGCAGGGAGGGTTGATTCAATGGTATCTAAAAATCTAAAAATCTAAAAATCTTCCTGGGTCTGGAAGGATTGGCCTGAGGCACCATTACCCTTCTGGAGTGTAGGGAAACTGGAACAAATGGGGGTTTTTCTGTCCCCTCAGAGCAAACTTTACACAGCTCCTGCCTATCCAGAACACATTCACTGGACCCATGTAGGCAAGGGCAGTTTGCACCAGGAATGTGCAGGTGCACTCTTAAATGAGACTTTTGGATTTACAATTGCTTAAGACCCAAGAGGGCAAATGGCAGAAATGCATTTGTTCTGTAGTTAATTCAGAAACCAGGATGTTTGCTTTTCATGCTCTGTTTTTAAGGACTACTTAAAACTGTTTACCCACGAATGATCTTGCCAAGTTCAAGGCTCTTCATTTTATACTGGAAAGAAGTAATATGGATATTAAATATAAATAAATAAATAAGAAGGAGCAGCTAATGTTTTTAGCATGTTCCCCATACTCTTTTGTACAGAACAAAATAATTAGTTAATCCTCTGATGTTGCCTGAGCACAGTACTTGGAAAACTGAAACTTGATGAACCATTTTCAGAGAACTCCAAACCATTTATCATTTAGTTTCCATTTTCTTTTTCTTTTTCTTTTTTTTCTTTTTTTTTTTAAGAAACCTACATAATACCTAACATTTGTATTTCTCAGTCTATTTAACTGTCAAGGGTTGATAATTCTCTGAACTGTGTGCAAGATTTATACAAATTCTGGCACACCAAGGTTATTGAGATGGGGGGTTTTTTTGCTTTAATTCAGCTGAGAGAAAAATCATTGAGGCAATATCAGTTTCATAGAGAAAACTTTACTAGAATTCCCTTTGCAAGCATGGATTTAGAAGACTCCATGGGAAATCAAGGAAATGTTAATCCACACTGATCTTTTCAGCTGTTCATTCGACCACCTTGTTAAACACAACTGTTGCCCCTCGTGGAGGATCAGGTGACACCATGTCTGGAATTGGTTTTGGATCAGGTTTTTGTTGCTGTTTAACTTGTCTCTCAGTTGTTCAGAGTTCTGGGCTGATTCTAACCTGAGTGTGGTGTCCTGGGAGCTGGAACACTCTACAAGCACAGAGATGCACATGGACATTGGCAGCTGCAGTAGCACTTGCCAGGTTTTCTCAGCTTGTGCAGTTTTGTTTTGCAGTTGACCCGAGGCTGATTTTGTGCAATATATGGAGCAGTTTCAATGCTTTCAAACCCATGTTCCTGCCTTTACTTTTCTGTGGACCCTCATCACAAAACAGGTATTTTTTACTAACAAACATAGAGCTCTGATCAGTTTTCTGTACAGCTTGTCCACTCCCAGTTAGCCTCAGCATCTGGAAAGCTAACACCTTCAAAATACTGATGTTCAACCAAACTTCATTGTGGTAACTCTTAAAAGTCTTTCTTTTCCTTCACTAGATGGTGGAGCTGCACAACAGGGGCTTTAAATGCCAGCATATAAATGTACACATGCATAGAGTGCAAACTGCCAGCAGTTATGTACTCTGCAGTATTTATATTCATCAGTTTGACATTTATCATCTGCTGTGGGTGCTGCTACAAAATGCATTTTCAAATCATACACACTATAAATCTGGATATTATCACTCAATTATTTTTTATAATTTCTCTCTTTGGGGGAGTTCAGTCATTTATAGTAACAGTTGAACAAGTTAGTTCAATTAAAACTTTTTTCAGGGGTTTTGGAAAATTTGGATCATTTTCCTCTCCTTTCTGTTTTTCACTTTTCGTACCGTGCATTTCCTAATTCCAGCTGGGAGAAGAAGTGCTGTGTTGCACTTTTCTATGCAGTGTTTTTGGCCAAATTAAAAGCAGGAAGTACCAGAAAGTTCACAGAAGAACACATTTTTGTGAGGTTTTTTTTCAGCTTTATAGACCTAGAAATTCAGATAAGATCTGATTATGCATATACATTAATAATTTTCTGTGCCGTTGCCTGGAAAACTTAAATTACAGACACTATATGATAAATGAGATTAATTCTTCTTAAATATAATGTAGTAGTTGGGATTTTAAAGTAATTAAGGTGGCAAAATAAATAAGTTGCAACATTGCCAACAACATACCAGTGCTCCAAAGCATAGTATGAATCACAAGTTGTTCCATATTTCAAGCACTATGGACAAAAATCTTTGCTATGCTATCTTAGTAACAGAGAAATAATGACGTGCATGTGACAGCAGGTTAGTAATGAATATCTTGTTAAAGTAATAAAGTAAAAGAGTTGCTTCAGTAAGTGAGAATTTTATGGAAGCTTGAGTAACCAAACTAAGCGCTCTGTGTACAGCCACCGTTGATTCTGCATACGGATTTGTGGAATGCTTGGCAAACTGTAATAATTTGGAAGTAAACTCAGAATTTTGGCAAATTTTAAACCAAAATTAGCATAGTACATTTGGGGTCTAATCTTCAAATGTTACAGTAATTAGTGCATCTTTATTCCTCTCATCGCATGGGAAGCTTCCTGACAGCCTCAGACTGCGGTGGGTTTTTAAGTGCTCTGAATTTTGGACCATTTATTAAATGCAGCAGTATTTAGATGTGACCATAAAGAATTTCCACCAGGTACTTTCTCCATTACAATCTGTCTGGCTTTGCTGCCGTCAACAGGGCCTCCAGATCACCCCAATTTGTCTTTTTTCGGAAGAACCCAGGGCCACCCCAATGCTCTTTTTATCCCCCACATCCAAAGCGTGGCATTTCCCCCTCAAATTCCACCTGTGAGCACAGGAACAGCTCCTTCATTGCCTTTCCTCATCATTTCCTCGCCTTTCCACCGCAGGGGACGGTGCTTTATCTCCCAAACACCGATATGTAGGGCCACATCCCGAGACCTTGTGTCAGCGGGACCACAGCGGCCTCCGCGGGGTTTAGACTCGGGGTTTAGACTCGGGGTTTAGTTTATTCTCAGGGTTTATACTCGGGGTTTAGTTTAGTCTCAGGGTTTATACTCTGGGTTTACACTCGGGGTTTATACTCGGGGTTTATACTCGGGGTTTAAACTCGGGGTTTAAACTCGGGGTTTATACTCGGGGTTTATACTCGGGGTTTAAACTCGGGGTTTAAACTCGGGGTTTATTCTCGGTGTTTATACTGGCTCGGGGTTTACTCTCGGGGTCTATACTCGGTGTTTACACCCTGAGGGCTCGCTCCCCGCCTGCATTTCCCAGCAGGCAGCGCGCTCCCGGTCCCGCCCCGCTCTCTCCGGCTGTTTCATTTCCGGGCCGGGATTGTTTCCGCCCCGTTCTCTCTGCGCTGTTTCGGTTCCGGGCCGGGCACAGGAGCGGGGCCGGGCACAGGAGCGGGGCCGGGCACAGGAGCACAGGAGCGGGGCCGCTCGGGGCCCCTCCCGCGGGATGGACGAGGACGGGCTGCCCATCGTGGGCTCCGGCATCGACCTCACCAAGGTACGGGCGGGATTGCCGCTGCTGCTGGCCCGGCGGTGGCTGCGCTGGCCCGGGGCTCTCTCCGGGATTGCCGCCGCTGGCCCGGCGGTGGCTGCTCTCGCCCGGGGCTCGCTGCGGGGATTGCCGGTGCTGTTCCCGGTGCTGTTCCCGGTGCTGGGTTATTGCCGGTGCTGTTCCCGGTGCTGTCCCGGTGCTGGGTCATTGCCGTGTCCCCCGGCCCGGTCCCTCAGGGGTTCCGGTGCCCAGCGGGTTCTCATCCTCACCTGTCACTCCAGCTATTTTCCACAAGCCTTTTGCCGCAATTTCTGTGAGAATGTTGTATTTAAAGACTAATTGTTGTGAGAATGTTGTATTTAAAGGCTAATTTCAGCCGTTGATCTGTGATGCGAATCCTGTGCGCAGTTGTTTGTTCGTGTCTTGTGATGTTGCAAAAGGGTGACCCGATGATTGTCCCGCGCTCTCTGCCCCCCACAGATTTCTGTCAAGGTCAAAAGCGCTGCTTGACAAGTTCTGGAAGCACAGAATTGAACTTTAGCAGGTGCACAGGCTGAAGGCTCGAGATAAAAGTCTCACAAAAAAAAAAAAAAAAATCAGGGTGTTTTGAGATTGTCATAATAAGTTTCATATCAGCTGCCTGATAAATCAGCGACTAAAGAAGAAGTGAAGACCAAAGAGTCACTTCATTCACCAAAAAAAATGCAATAGAAGCTCGACTGCAAATAATTTCCCTTGTAAATCTTCCATTCACATTATCTTCCACAATGACAATTTCATTGGCTAATTTCCTCTGCAAAGGTTAAGACTTAAAGCATTTGTCCAAGGTTATTAACGCTGAAACACTAAAATTTTATACATAAACTTTTCTGTGAAAATTCCTGATTGCAGTCTTCTCTCATGGTTTAAATAAAAATGTCAACTGTCTGTTATAATATCACCACCATTCTTTTTGACAAACATGAGTGCATTTAGTCTGAAAAGTGTGTGAGCATCAAAACTGGTTTGGAGGATCATTTTTGGTGATTTTGGGGTAGTTTAGGCTTGCAAATGAAGAACCAGTATGGGTAACCACTAAATACTTAGCAGCATCACTACACTTTAATATTTTGATCATGGTGTTAGTTGTAACAGAGTATTAGTATGGCTGGCCAAGTTTGCTTTTCCTTCTAAACTCCAGAGGGAAAGATTCTAATTTCCTCATTGTTTTTAAAAAACATTAAAACTGATTTTCAGAAATAGTCACAGTTTCATCTAAAGGCTTTTTCTTTAACATAACGAATCTTCATTTATTTGGTTTTGTTGCCTTTTCTGTGTGCCCTGTAAATTCTCAGTTGTCGCATTAGAAGATTTTTAGTGGCAAAGGATTTGTGTGCGTGCATGTGTAAATCTCTTTATTAGAAAATGGTTTGTGTATGTGTGCATTCATAGGTGGCACACTTAAGACAGATTTCCAAATAATTTCTTTTAAAACACCTGCATTTTTAGCAGATATTTGAATCCAAATGTGAAAATTGACATTGATGTGTAACCTAATTGTGTTATTTTTAATGCAGGTTCCTGCTATTCAGCAGAAGAGAACTGTAGCATTTCTAAACCAGTTTGTGGTTCACACAGTGCAGTTCCTCAACCGCTTTTCCACTGTTTGTGAAGAGGTAGGTTTGTTATTTTCCCAGCTGTGCATTTATACAATTTTAAAAAAATCTGGAAGTGAGAACCATTCATTTCAATATTTTTTATGCAGTAATACTGGTAATTTAAATCAAAAAATGTAATCAGCGTTCTGTTCAAGGCTTCTCTTGAGTAAGTGCTTAAGACAGAGTTTTTCTCCAAGGGATCCACATGAATTATTCCTGATTGTGCCACACTTGGTCCTGTTTTCTTAACTTTTTCCATTTGGCACAATCTTTGAACTTTTTGTTACAGGGAGTTTGTTCTGAGCAGCTTCCTCTGGGGCTCTTACCTTGTTATGGAAGAAGGATGCCATATTCCTGTGGTACATCAAAACTTACTTTCAGATTTTATCACCCTTAATTTTTAAGAGTGATATGCTAAGCTCTGAGTGTAAATAATTTTTATGTTGAAAAAAGCACTTTTTTTGGCAAGTGATTAGTATATAATGTGAAGCCCTTAGCGTAAGTTTCCTGTAAAAAGAGAAAAATAAAAATATTTAGGATTAGTATATTTATGTGGTGACTTTCTAGCATCAGTTGAAACACTGACAAGATTAGAATTGTCCACTGAACAGGACAAGAGTGCTTCTTCCCTTGCAGAAAGAGCATTTTCTAATGTGGCTTTGAGCGTAACAGTTCTGTCTTTGGGGTTTTTTTTTTCTAATTTTTCATTAGTTCATTCAACAAAGACTACTGTACACCTCCAGCCAGCTGGGCTAGGGCAGCACTCAAATCCAATTAGGCTAAGCCATGTAATCTGAGCAATTCTGTTATTTGTTGGTGAAGTTAAGAGCCAGACCCGTGGCAAGTACAAAATTTGGCTTCCACATGAATATATGGAGCTTCAGAGGAAAAAAAGCAGTTTTTCCTAGGTTTTTAAGCTCCTTGTAACTTGATAGGTAGGACAGGGTAGCTGCCTGATGATGCTGTTGTCAGTTGTCCAAAACTCAGTTGTCACCTGATCTGAGCATTCCCTTTTCCTTGGGCACTGCGGAAACCAGAAAATGTATATTTAAACCTGTGAAGTCTGCCTAATAAAACAGTTCTTAGTTAACCAAAATGTGTTGTTACCCAAGAGACTAAATTAGTTGCTTTATATACTCCCTGAGAATATTTTTGTGTTTATGAAGTACAGAAGTGTTTTTAATGTGAAAGGTGGCAGTGTAAGTCAACAGAAGCCAAGAAATTCAAAATCAGGGCTGACACCATCCTTAACTCTGAATTTCTTGGCTCTTGTCTAGTCAAGTAGACCCATAAAATTGCATAATTGTCTTTTGTACGTCTTACCTCCCCCTTACCCAGTTACATGTAGGACACATAGTTCCTTCCAAGAGGAGCTGACTCCTCTCCATGAACAAAGGGCCATCTGTAAACAAGTCAGTGCACTATCCAAAAAGACTAACTCCTGTCAGTTCCTTCTGCTTTTTCTAGCATATTGGCAGAACTGCCATTTTCTTGGGGTGTTAAAGCTGTGCTTCAGAGCCAGGCAGAATCTTGCCAGGGTGCCAGAGAGCTGTCAGAATGGTGCATGTCTGCCAGCCAGCACGCCAGCCAACTCCACTTGGACAGGTCTGCTGGAATATGGGAGTGATTATTCAAAGACTGGCAGTTCTTATAGAGCAATTTAGAAAAACTTAAGTTGTATTTTTTTAAAAAAAAAGTAAAAAATTTGATTGAGGTGCACCTGGAGCATATAAAGTGTCTGGATAGTTCTGATTCGTTGTGGATTTTGACTGGTACAGGACTTTGAATCACCTGCTGTATTTGTCAGATTTTCTCTGCGTATTTGCTCAGTTGCATGTGCACACATCATCTCTTTTCATCTTCCACATTGGGAAAAACATTGAAGAAAGATCTTTTGGGAACTGGGAGAGTACAATATGGCTACCATTATTCTCCAGTTACCCAAATAATGCCCTATTTCCTCTGGCTATTTTTGTACATAGTCTGTCTTCATTCCTGTCATTATATGGGAAAATCAATTGCAGAGTAAAACTATTTCTGATTTGAACCACTGTAGCTACTGTACTAAAAAGGATTGTCATTGATTTATTTCATAATGTAATAATCTCGTTTACACTGCACTCTGCCTTCAGCAGGTAGAAGACAGAACTGATTTTCTTTTAACCAGATGCAACCTGTGTTATGTGTACAAGTACACAGGGGATGTTTTCACCTCCTGATTGTTTTCTGTTGTAGAAATTGTCAGCGCTCTCTCTCCGTATCCAACACATTGAAACCACCCTCAATATTCTGGATGCAAAGGTTTGTATTGATATGGATTTCATCTTCTACCAGTGACAGCTTCTTAGATTACATGAGCTGGCTTCCTTTCTCTAGTCTGAATTGAGCAAAGAAGTTTTCATCATGATTGAAGGAGCTAATATAACATCCTGATATCAAAAATTTTCTCCTTGCTACTTAAACTCTGCGAGATTTGAACATGTAGTTGATACAGAAGAAAGAAACAGATAATACCTRATGGAAAAGYTGAGTTTGTCTGTGATAAGCATATAGAACAGGAAGGGAGCACTTTTTGCCATGCAGAGTCTGGTAAGGAAATTCTTGCCCCCTTTGTAAAACAAAAGTGTCTTTGTTTCTTACCAGATTGTAAGAATTTCAGCTGATATAAATAACTACAGAGAAGCCTTGTAAATCTTCTGCTATTGAAATGTGACCTGAACTGGATCTAAGATAATGCAAATGTGTTCGGTTTATCTTCTTTAGCTGAAATGACTAAAGGTTATAATCTATGGTCTTATACAGGAAATATAGTATATAATTTACTGAAAGGAAAAAAAAAACAACCCAAAAAAATCCCACAATAAACCAGCCACTAGGAAGTTTTAACCAGTTCTTTCAATAATGACGGAGACAATTTTGGTTGGCTTTTCTGGGAGCGAGGGTGGGATATTTTAAACTGTTCATTAAGATCTTTGAGGAAAAAAAGTGCTGTAATAATATGAATAGTACTTACTAACTTCAAAATATTTAGGAATCATCTATATTGATGATTTTTGCAGAATTGTTCATAATCATGTTAAGTAGAATTTCCTTCAAATAGATATGCAGTGTGTTTGATATCCACTGTCAGCATTTTCTTAAAAAATGTGAAAGATGTAGAAAATGGAAAAATTTCTAACCAGTGATCCATCTGTTAGGTGACAGAGCTGTTGTTGCCATGATTTCTTTCACTGTAGCAGAGGTTGCAGGGCTCTCGTGTGGTTGATAAGTGCAGTAGTAAAATACTGGGAAGGTGTGGAAGCCTTTCCTGCTCTGCAGCCCTGTGTTAACAGTGAAAGCTCCAGTGGAATGTCTGGGGCTGTTTATTGTAGAAGCCAGCTCAACAGAAAGATTTCTTTTTCCCCAATCAAAATACCAAAACTAGTGATAAAAAGTTCGTTTTGCTAATGGAAAAGAGGTGATAAGCAGCATCCTGCAGATTTGGTTGTACATGTGGCACTCATTGCTTATGTGGTGCTTCTTTTTGCATTCAGTTATCCTCAATTCCTGGCCTAGAAGATGTCAAATTTGAGGTGTCCAGTGCAGATGTGAAGAGTGTTACAAATGGTCCTGTGGCACAAGCTGCTGCAGATCCACAGGCAGCTGTGTCACCTCAGTCTGGGGTGAGTAATGAACACAACTTGTGCTGTGAAGGGGTAGAGCTCTCCAGGGCACGTTTTTAATGGAATTTGAAATAGATAGAAAAAGAAAGTCTATTGGAAATGAGCAGTCAGTTGTGAAAATCTAAAACTAAGCTTCTCGCTAATTACATTTGAACAAATTACTTAAAACAAAAAAGTCTATGCCTTATCTTAGCTATGTGGTTTGAATAATTAGAACTAACTCAAATCTGATGGTAAGTTCCTCCTCTTCAATCACACTAAAATGTGAACATGAATTACATCAAGGGGCTGGGAGAGCCATGAATGAAAATAACAGTATAAATCACATCATTCCAACTCTGTTTTCATCAGAACATGAGCTTTTAGCTCAAATTTGAATTTCTCGTGTACTTTATTCTAAAGAGTTCGTTACAATGAAGATTTTCTACATATTATCCTCTATGTACAGCTTATTAGAGGCAATCAGTATTAAGATCCTATCCCTGAAGTTATCAATGAGATTATTGTTTGTTCTATGTTTTTTTTTTTTAATGTGTCATTCAATAACTTAAAATTGTAACTAAAAGTAGAAAGACAATGTTGTAACAGTGAACAAACAGCAAAAGAGCTGAATTTTGTGATTTCCTGAAACCTTTAATTCTCTGAGTGTAGATCAGAATAATCTTGATGAAGAGTTGCACTTGACCATAAAATACCCAATTTTATGGACTGAAATCTCTGCATGGGTCTGGTGTGTACCCCTAACCATTAAAGGGCTTGTTCTTCACATGCAGCAGAACAACACACAGGAAGAAGGGCTGCAGAAAACAGAGGTGGTAACAGAAAATGTCACAACTGTGGCCAAGGATCCAAGATATGCCAGATATCTCAAAATGGTACAAGTGGTGAGTCAATTCTCATGTCATTCTTTGGCCAGGATATTGTTTTAAGATGGGATGTAACCTTAAATGTCTGAAAACATATACTGCAAAAGTAATATTTAAGCTAGGATAACATCACAATATTCTAGCACATCTTCTCTTATAAATGAATTAATATAATRTATTCRTTCAGACAGCTTCTGGCAAKATCTTTCCACAAACTGCTGCTGGTRYACTTGTGAACTGGAGGTGTGAAATGTGTCAGTGCAAAGGGATATTAGCTGCAGGCACAAGGTGCCACTGAAAGTGCAATTGTCCTGGCACAATTGGAGTGACTTCCTGCATGCAGACATGAGTACAGCTTGATTTTACTGTAGGGGACCAAATACAGCTTTGCAGGTGTGGAGTCCAGAACAGGACTRTTTGATATTTCTGKMAGGACTAAAYAGAGATACAAGGATTGCTGYRTTATTTGGTTCCACTCCWGTTTCCTGTKATTCATGATGCAGGTTTTATCTCTKTATCTCTGGTCTGTTCTACAAATAAATAGAAAATAAAGTAATRTAATCTCAATATTTACTTGTGTGAAAGCTAATGGAGGAATAAGAAGGCAAGTGGGAGACTGTGACATTTTTAAGAGTTCATTTCACATCCACAAAATTAAAAATTAGAATTTATTTCAATTCCTTTTCAATTTGTCAGTGGAAATTTTTCTCTGAAATAGATATTATAATTCTGGAAAGTATGAGTATGTCATAGTATTAATAAAATTAATAAAATTACATTAAAACTAACTTCACTGTTTCACTCAATCTTCAGTGAAATTATTACAATTGATCTGCTTCGTTCTTTGTATGGTGTTCCAGACCTTATTTTTCACTTGAATCACAAATTGGCACTTTGTGGGTAGTTTGTTACAAACCATTTGGAAAACCTGCAGTGGGGTAGTGGCAGAGAGTAGAACACAGTGTTACTGGATTGATTTAATGCCAGACTTCAAAGTGCATTTGAAAGCTCTGGATGGTCTCATTACTTTGAATTATTTTTTTTGTGGCTGCTAGAGGAGTGAGATCTCACTTTCCACATTTCTCCTGTGTACTGGCAGTTGCTGGTGACTCCCTGCCAGCTGTAAACAGTGTGGTAGGAAAGTCAAACTAACATGCTACAGATTCATGTGTGTTTTTGTGTTTGCCAAACTTGTCTCCTCATCCGGTCAAGTGTTTCAGTTAGTGGCATTTATTTGCCCAAATTAAGTTTCTAGCTGAAGACTTGTTTGAACTGATCATTTATTTGTTACTCACAATGTTTGTGGTACAAAGGAGTTAGCACCTTTCTGCACTAAAAGGAGCTCTTCCACAAAATTGTGACAAGCTTGTTTTGGTGGAGTGAATTGAGGATACTAAATTCTCACTTTTTAAAATTTGCAACAATATTCAAAGAAATCATATAAAAACAGTATCATATTTGCAAATTAAAATTTAGGAAAGCATGAAAGGTAAAGTAGTTGTAATGCCCTCATTGCATTATAAACAGCCATAGGCACAATGGCTGCCCTTTATTTTATCACTATTTGACTTGCTTCTGGCCAAAAGATACCASTCTTACACTTTTCATTTAGAAAATTCATTTAGAATTTCTTAGACCATCAGTAGGTTTGTCCCTTTCAAATCAGAAGTTGTATCCTCATTTGGGKTTTTTTTTTTCCTATATCCTATATTGGCATGGGGTGATCCAGATGGCATTTCTGATGGTTTCCAAGAGGAGATGGCAAGCAACAAGTTGCCTTTGAGCAACTCTAGTGGAAGTACAGGAGCAGTTTGTTGGAATGCATCTCTTAGGAGGACATGGGTATTGGGTATGTGATCCAAGATGAGGGGATGTTTAGGTGCTGAGGAATAAATAAAGTGCAGAACTGTGGAAGGACTTGCAGTGAAGGGAAGGGATTTTTTGAACACGTTTATAGTTGGCAGAAATCTGCCCACAGCTCACAGAAAATTCAAGCCTGGCTGCACAAGCAGTTGTGTTCAGAGAAGTCGCTTTAAATTGTGCTTCTGTTCTCATGTCCTGTTTGCCTTTCTCTCCATGCTTTTAGACTTCTCCAGATTTTAGCCCTGCCTCAAGAGATCCTTCTGGAGTGGTTGCAGCTGCAGTTCCCTGGTTGGGTGTCCCTTCAGCATGCCCAAGCCTTCTTTATCCTCCTGGCACAACTTCTCTGCTGTCTCTGTGCTTTCTTCACATTCTCACCCWTACAGACACCTTCAGCTTCATGATTTTGTCTGCATGAACTGCAAATAGATCTATCTATCCAGTCTTGATTCTCTCCCTGCAACTTTCTCTAGATGTTTTGCCATGAATAGAAGAAGGATKAAAAGGGCCTGTAATCTCAAGAATTTCTTGCTTCTAGGTTCATATTGATGGCTATAACTGAGATTGTTGTTCCGTGCTGTGGTTTGACAAGTGACGTGCATAAATGTATATGGAAGTGTGGTTTAAAAGTACCTGTGTGATTCAACTCACTGTTTGTGCCCAGCAGTTTTATATTATTCTTCCTCTTGCTACACAGGGTGTTCCTGTCATGGCAATACGAAACAAAATGATTTCTGAGGGACTAAACCCAGATCTTCTCGAGTAAGTAATTTGTGACTCTCWGCAGGGCTGGAGGGCAACCATGTCTTTAAAAAGCTTGGAAAAGCATGTCCTTGGGAACATAAAAACTATGTCCTTGGGAAAGGCTGTTCAGGGTGCTGTGAGTTATGGCAGTGACAAGCTAGCATTTGACAGTGTGCATTTAGCAACGAGGACTCCATTRAAAGGTCAGGAGCCATTTTCACTGCACTGTTTAGACTGTGAGGTTTTTCCCAGATACTTTCTTTCAACACTTCAGTTAAAAAAATGTCATTATTGYAGAGTAATAAGAACAAAGTCAAACTTACTTTGCCAGATGAATGAGGGACAATGCAGYTGTTTCCAGATTCCCTCAGTAGACAGAGTGCACAACTTGACACCAAAATTGACAGTGTAAATTGAAGTCAGCACTTCAAAACTTGGCTGTTGATTGAGYTCATCTGACATGAAGACTGCTAAGAATAGACACTAATTTTCAAAGCTTCTTGTCTGGCCATAAATGTTAATTTTAGTCTTACTTTTCAGTTGACATTTAATTTAGTTCTTCCATATTATTTCATGGTGTTAAACTGGTGAAAGTATTAACTTTCATTCTTACACTATAGCCACCAAAGTGTTTGAAGTACTTTTGCATTCTCTTCAGAAACTGTCAGGATATTAGAAAGTCCATCTTTCCATTCCAGTGAAGTCTTTTTATTCTGAAACTAGCAACATGTTTAATAAAATAAACCTGACGTATCATCATTTGGAGAGTCACTTGAGCTCCCAGCTACTTCCTGCTATCTAAATAAGGTTAACGTAGTTATTTCTCACTTGATATTTTTACTGATTCAATGAGAAATAAGAAAAAGACCCTGTACAAGTTGGAGTAGGTTTAGCAAACATGGGTTTTCTATATGTGTGTTAAATGTGTTGTATTTTCTGCTGTGCATTTCAAGTCCATACATTTGTATAAATGCTGCTATTTCTTCATGTTTGGGTGGATTTTTATAGCAGATAAAACAAAAAGATAATAGGTTAAARTTTCAAAAGCTGTTTTTTAAAAAGTATCTGCTTTTGGTTTGTCTATTTTGCATTAAGACAGAAACATAATTAGTGTGGATTGAGGCTTACAGTTTATGTTTGGGGTTAGCTCTCAAAGTCCATCTTTAAAGATCTGTGCAGCAGCAACGCTTGGGCAGATTTTCTGTAAAATGTTATTATTTCTTCTGCTTGAAGAAAGCTAATTATTAGGCAAGGTGCATAATGTGGAACATTTTAAGGTGTCAGGGATGACCTTTTTCTTAGTTTTCTTGCTTTCTTGTCTTGATTTGATAGACTTCTTTTTTAAGTTTATCTTGCCCTTCTCATCACATTTCTTGGGTGTTCAGATTGCTTAGGTCTGTTCACTCAGGCCCAGAGAAAAGCAGGAAAATGCACATATGGCTGTGTGCTCAGTCCCTCAGTGCAGACTCCCCCAGTCCCTGCCCCTGCTGAGCCTGGGATTTTGTGTGGCTGTAGATGTGCTAATTCCATAATGTTGTGTTGTTTCTACACTCTCCTTTTGCCTGTTCCACTTCTGTTATTGCTCCTCCCTCAACTTTTTACAGCGTTTGGTAACTGCCTGTTCTGTCAAGCTCCCAATTTGCCTGTCTTTYACTTCTGTTTCTTATCCTTCCTCTCTTGCCTGTCTTCAGTTCCAGGAGRGTTTGTCCTTCTCTCATGARCAAAAGGAATTCAGCMCCATCTTCCTCTTCTCAATAAATGRGRGGTTTTGCACTGGTCTCTCCAGATCCCATGTCTTTGCACAGCTCCTCTGTTCTGTCATTACCACGGCAACAGGGAATAATATTGTGAAGTGCTATTTGCATGAGAAAGCAAATGCTTTCTTAATTTGTGTTGGAGGTGTGCAGGGGGGAGGGAGAAGGCTCTTCTGCAGTTCTTTAACACAAAATGTTCAGAAACACTTAGGGATTCCCAACAGAGAAATTGTACTAAACACAACTAATGTTGGAAATGAAATTCTGTACCCCCATGATAAATAAGAACAGGATGATTAATAGGACTGTCAGCTTAGTTTAAAATGTAATATTTTATCCAAGAGATGTTAACTGTCATGCAGGAAGTGAGTTTCTCTGAATAGCATTTTTCCCCAAGTATAATTACATACGTATTTTCCACCTTGCTTTCAGATTTTATCCGGCTCTGCCTTGCTTATGTGTCAAACTCATTGCATGCTTAGGAGGGAAAGTCCATGGAGACCCAGCATCTTCAAGCAATAATATTAGTTAGTCTTCAGATTACTTGCTTTTGTCACCTCCTTTCCATTAGATTCCCCAAGCAAACATTTTGCCACAGTGTTGAGATCCACTCTAAATATTCTCTTTAAAACTAAATACAAATGGTCTGATCATTTGTAGTCAATAAAAATCGCATGGCTGTTCTTGCATGTCAAATTTAACCCAATGTTCTAGCCAAATTCCACTCTGAGTAATTCTTTTTTTGCTTCTCTAAATTATCCCTGCAGTTTTAGTTGGATAGAATATTGTTCATTTCCTGTCTTATTTTTTTCATGTACTATTTACACTGCTCAATGGTGTACWGAATGTTCCTTTCAGCCCTAGACCCTCTGAAGATTGAAAAAAAAATTGAATTAATCATTATTGCCTGCTTTCAACTCTTTCTACAAGTGTTTGCCACCTCTTAGTGATCTGTCACCATTTGTGATGGCATCAAAGGCTGCATTCACACTGGTGTCTGATGTTTGATGTGCAGTGAGTTGCAGTTTGTGGTGTTAAACAATCCCCCAAGGTGTGAGTTTGTGAACCATAAACAGTTAAAGTGTTAAATGCTGTGGGAACAGATGCCTGCAGTTGTGGTGGATTTTAACATGGGATGTTTTTGTTCCCCAGGACCCCGGATGCCCCCGCGCCTGCCTGGGGAGACGATGGCAAAGCAGAGGAGAGTTCTGACAGTGAATCYTCCTTCAGTGACTGAGGAGACTCATTTCAGCCTTTGCCAGCCCCTCTGAGTGCTCGTGTGTCTGGGGCTTCAGCAAACAGCAGCTTTGCACGGATCACACGGGTGCCAGGCTTTACCTGACAGTGGTTTTAGGAACTGAGATCCTCTGTTCTCCTCTGGAAAGTGTGAGCAGGACCCGTGTTTCAACCTGAGCCCTTCCCCTGAACATGAATCACGAGATCCTTGCAGCCTCTCTCTGCATCGTGTCAGGTTCATTTCTGACTCTGCTGAAATTACTTTGTGGAGCTCTGAGAATTCCACAGCTCTCACACAAGCTCTCTAGAAGGCATTCTGGTCATTGTTAGATTTTCTGTGTAACACGTTTAACCTAAGTTGCCTTTTTTCTGCCCTGTAACCTAACATGGGAAAATGMAAATGTTTCATTGATGGACTGAACTCTTTTCCCAATATACTRTATCTGCAGTGATGCAACAGGAATTGCATGTAAGTTAGCTGTCTGATGGTGGTTGCAAATCAGTGATACTCAGTCTTGAGAAAAACTAAAATGCAAGTGAAAAATACATTAAAACCCATTTGGAATCTATTTTCAAAGCATATGTTGCTATTCARTGCCACTTTAGAGTCTGTATGAAGTTGTTGAAGAAACTCCTACTCTCAAAGGTSTGRTGTATCAAAYTCAGGTTGCAGTGYTGTAGAAAGCTGCAAACAAGGCAAGACTGATTTGCAAATGGAAAGAAAGGAAGGGACAGGGAGATGATTAATGGAATACCAAATTCTCACTSTTATGTGGGTCAGGTGAAATAACTTTGTGAGTTCAGTTGGCCTTGCCCAAAAGAAACTGTGGCTGAGCAGTTTGCTTAGGATGAGAAATCACTTCCAAGTTGGTGCCTTTGCAGATAATTCCAGAGAGAAGCTAAAGTTCAGTTTGTGTAGTGATAAAACTACCTTGCCACTCTTGAGGCATGCACTGAGGAACAGTGTAAAGAAATGCACTCAGAGCCTGATGTGCCCTGAAGATTCCCCTCARAATTACTTCATGTACTCCATAACTCAAAAATGCTGTTTCGTTAAAGAATCTGCTTGARTACAATTTGTTCCACACGAATCCTTCCCAATCTGTTGGAATTCCCAGATTGTTGTGATTATCCCAGAATTCTGTGTGCCAGGCAGTCATTAACTTGCTGGTGTTTCACATTCTTCCTGTGACCAAGATKAAAACTGGAGCTCCAAGTTTGTGAGTTTGTTAACCTTTATGACTGAGTGGATACCTTCTCTCTTCGTTATTTATGCTCTTCATTAGCTTACCTGCTTCCTTTTTTATTTTCCTGTAACACAGGCATGGCTTCCATTGAAGCCTTACAGACATATTTATACTCCATTAAGCTGTAAATCAGAATAATGCCTGGATCCCTGCAAAAGCATAGACAATGTCTGGAGATGGTATTTCAATGATGGGTTAATTACTGTTGAACACTTACACAAAAGTACTGAACGCCTGGTAAAACACAACAAACATTAACATATTAGCAATAAGTATTTCAAGTGTAAATGTGATAATGTTATTTCAGAATGTATATATTAAAACTCTCATGACTTTTTAAAATCTATATTTGAAAGCTCATTTAAGCAATCTGTATAAATAAAGCTATACTTTGTAAACCAGAGTTGTGGTTCTATATTATTCTTATATCTTGTTTTAAACAAGACAATGAAAATTATTCAAAGTCTCTGCAATTCACATTTCTCTGAAACTAATTGTGCTGAAGTTATATCAGCCTGCTAGCCTAAAGGGAAACGTTTTGGAAATGAGGGTTTGGTTAAGTTAACCTATGGTGGCACTCTGACTGCAGGAGAGCTGAATATCTCACAGCCACTGTTCTAAGAAGCAAATTTAAGGAAGGCTGAAATGAGTGTTTGATTATATATTATATATATATTATTCAATCAATATAAATATTAATATATTGGTTATATATATGTAGTATTATATGTTTGATTCTTTTGAACTCACATAAATCTCTGTAAGGAAGTGGCATGATTTAAAGAGTTTATTTGAGACAGTTTATTACTTCTAAATAAGCAGCCTGTGTAAAATTATTTTAGTCTGAAAAAAACCTAAAATTAATTGTCTTTTACGCCACTACAGATAGCACTTTTATGTGGAATGGAAAAGCAAGCCTCTGGCCTACAGTCACATAAAATAAGGAATAAATCAACAGTAATTATATATGTCACAGAATAACAACTTCATTAATAGTTGGTGGGTTTAACTGCTTAAGACCTGCAGGGTTTTTTCAGGGTAGAAGTTTACTTTGGGATAGTGCAATGTTGGTAAACTTGCAGAAACATTAAGAAAAAYCTTGCCACAGTTGAGCAGTAACACCCTGCACAGAGAAATCCAAAAGTCTGAGCTGGGAGGGAGCAGGGGAAAAAAAAGATAAAAGCATCCTTTTTTACATTCAGTGTCTCTGCAGCCAGAGCTTCCAGTGCCTGTGGAATCTCTGTCACTTCAGGATCTTCTGTTCCTAAACACATCCCTTCACTCTTAACTTGCAGTCAGATTTCACCCGAGCTGTTTCACCACCCAGGGATCTGTTGGGTATGGACAGGTCGCTTTGAGGCTGAATTCTGTCAGCTCTGCTGCTCCTCCTGGATCTGCAGCAGCTTTCTGGAGATTTCCAGAGCTGGAAATTCCTTCCCCACGAGCTGAATGCTGTMAGTGGAGAATATTCCAAGGTGCTCATTATTTGCCATCTGTTGTGGAATAGAAGATGGAGGGAGTTTTTCAGCTTGGCAGCACAGTAATCAGATATATAGAATATATATCCTTTCTAAAGTCCATTTCTAAGAGACTTTTATTTTTAAAAGCATCCAACAGCTTTTAGGAGATACAGTGTACATTCAGAGGTGTCAGTAATACACATCCAGTACACCCAAATTGTTGCATGTATTTAAATTCAGCATCTGGGGCAGTATTACAATTTGTAGGTGTGAAAACTACTGCAGAGCATTGCTGGAATAACTATTGCATGCATCTGTTAATACTAATTATGTGCTATTATTAAATTAAATATTGTTTGTTTAAGCAAAGCTTTTTCATCCTGTCCCCATATCCCTCATTTTGCAGGTGAGTGGCAGTGTGGAGTGCATTAAGGGCAGCTTCTTAATGGGATTACAGGCATTTTAAATGCATGTAGATGCCCTTGCACTACATGCATATCTGCATTTTCATAAGTAAAACCTCAAAAAACCATCAAAGGTAAAAACAACATCTGGACATTATAATAACTTCATGGGCAAGTCCTGGTTTAGCACTTGTAACCATTAATCTGTTCCCTCCCAAGTCCTCTGTTCAGCTACATTTGAGAGGAAAATTGATGGTTCTTTTTCCAAGCTGAGTCTCTTCCTCTCTCTTGTTTTTCTTTCCAGCATGTGTTATTTACACCAGTGAGTAAGTGTGTAGTTTGACGTTCTGC